TCAGCCATGGAGGTGCAAAAAAAAAAAAAAAAAAAAAGTATTTTCCAGCAACTCATTTTTCGACTAGCCAATGAAGTATACCTATTCAGGTTTTTACAAATAAAGAAACAAATATTACTCTGATAAATATATTTTGGTAACATTTGGAGGAATGTGGCTATAACACTCATCACTCTCCTAGACGATAAGGATACTTAGAAACAATTTTCAAATTGTTTCTCCCTAAGGATAGATTAGGTAATAAAAATGTTCATTTTTCATATAACATATACAGTATTCAAAGCTCATGCAAGCACAGTTTGCAAAAAAATCAAAGCAAACTACTATTGATACTCTTTTGGACACTTACATCTCAATAAAAACAGAAAACAGCCAACCGTTAAATATCCTGAAGATACAGGTTGGTGGTCTACGACAAGTTTGATAATGTACATTCAAGGAATTTATCCTTCAAGAAAGGCACACTCAGAGCAGTGCAGGAAAGACATTTAAACTTTAAAGATGAATGTGGTCTGGGCTTCACTTTGAATCAAACAGTCTGTCAAGTCCCTCTGAGTTTCTATTTGCCGTAGAACTTTTTGTTGAGCAGGAAAATGAGGAGGTTAACATTTACAGTAGCTCGATCGAACAGCTTCATTACTGCCACCCCCTCGTACTGCAACTGGAGCAGGTCCTGTTATTAAACACAATCAAAGATTACATATAGTTCTTTAAAAAAAAAATCCTTCTGACTACATGAGATACAGAGACTACACCTGTAGATCGATTGCTTTGTTCCGAAACAGGGATTCAAATTATTATAATGTTGCTTTATATTCTTGGTGCGGTTCGCTTTCACACGGCAAAGTTTCTAAACGGACCAAATTTGTTAATACAAGTCACGCGCGAGTAAACTGTTGTCTCATTGGTCAAAGTTTCACGGTTTATTTTCTGGGATTCCACTTAGCTGTCACCCATTAGGATGGAACGACAACAGCTTTTTTTTTTTTGATAGCTGTCCTTATATTATCATTTTGGGCAGGAGTCCAGGATTCATCGGGAAAATATTTTTAAAATGCACCTACTAGGAAGAAGAGCAATAAGACGGCATTATAAAATGAAAAAGTACGCTTTTTTATTTTGAATGGCGAAGACGTGCTCACCCACAGACATTCACAGATTCATTTCGAAGTATTAGCAAAACAACAAAGCTAATGCTTTTCACGGAACTTACGTAATTACCCATTACCATTGTGATATAGCCTGGTTCATTGGTCCGTTAGATCGGATTGCCTTCTCACTACAACCGAACTGCTCCAGAGTTCGTTTTCAATCGAGCCGAGACCACCTCGTTCAGGCGATCTCGGACCGAT